TCATCATCATCATCATCATCATCATCATCATCATCACCATCATCGTCGTTGTTAATAATGATAAAGACAACAACCACAATAGCAGCAGCAACAATAATAGAAACAACAGTAACTGTAATAATAATTAGATATTCGTTTTGGCGTTCACTTGTACATCAGCTGTGATACAATTTGTTAGCAGTTTAATGAAATTACTACGTTTCATTGCGGCTGAATCCATATTTCATCGTTCGTGTAATGAAAGTATGTCCGTGCGGGAAATATATTTGTATTGCATCCCTCTTACATAAGCTTTCCAAAAATGGAGTATTTCCTTCGTAGTTCTTCCGGATGGGCTTGACACTTCTTTGTAACTTGGAATAAGCATTGACACACACGCGATATAGAGTAGCAGTCTTCGATGAATGATATGATTACTTGATGCTCGCGTTAAGGCTTAAGTGGGATCTGTCGAATGTATAATTTATCTCAAGATGCTAACATATCTTGCTAGGCTCGACGAAACTGTTGTTTATTTAATAAACGAATATCTTCAGAGAGGAAAAGTTGCATGTATAATCACTTTCATTGGTAATTCTGGAGCGTATAATACACCATCGAAAAATATTCGTTTATGAATAGGAGCGGTATATATAGGACTTGGTTTGGTTAAGTTTGCTAGCCAATTTCTCGATTTCTTAACATACTTTCCAGAGTTAAGAATTACAGCCTAAACGTACGAGATCGGAAAGGAACTTCGTATGCGATTGAAAAAAAGGGAATAAAGTAATCTTGCGTGCGACTGTGACGAATAATTCAGCTTGGAAATCCATCGTTCGACAGTATCTTATCCTGATGGTATTGTATGCGGTGGAAGAGCATCGCTAGCATAGAGTTGTGTGACATTTCGTTGTCGTATCACTGTGAACCGTTTAGCAATGAGAGACCAACCTCTTGCTTCCATCTCCACCACCGTCCTGCTTGCTCTTCGTCCCGACGTTTCCACCTGATGTCGTCCCTTCCTTGTTGTTGGCACCAGCTTCTGCTCTACCGCTCCCTTTAGAGTCTCCCTTCTTGTTTTCTTCCACTTTCTTCTTCTCTCCTCCATCTGCAGAGACAATCAAGGTAGCATAGTCACTTTCTGCGAAGCCAGATTTCTTCTCCCTCCCTAAGACTCCAGCTGCTTAGTGGCCTGTATTTCCTGCATGGAACTTTTCCGAGCCACTAACAGATTGCGGAGTAAATTATGATGAAGATCGCATGATTGCAATAACACAAATTCACTCTTCAATGTATAATCCATAGCGACCCTACTTTGTTTTTTTCTTTTGATTTTCGAACGATTTAAAATTACCTTTGTACCTTTATATAAAATAGACTCTGAACCAAAACCTATATTGAAAGAAAACTTTAAGGGAAATGAAGAGAAAATGGAGAACAAAGAGGAAAAAGGAGAAAAGGAAAAGAAAAAACTAGAAAGGTAGCAAAAGGAATATATATGCACGCGCGCGCGCAGACATAAGCACGCACGCATGCAGGATATATCTGATTTCTGCGATAGCAAAATATTTGCGCGTTAAAATGACATGCGATTATTTTAAGTTGATGGTTTTAAGACATTGATTTCTCCAGGATAATAAACAACGATGCATCATCAACCGTATATGGGGAAGATTTTTGGCTTGACATATACTTCAGTCTTCTTGTATCCACATAATTCGGAGACCAAACGATCCAACGATGCTCTAGGTGGTTAGGTAGAATTAAATGTAACTTTATATCAAACTCTAGCGTTAACTAACTTATAGACTAGCACTTATGGGATAAACTTTGTAGAATATAGTTGATATTGCGCACAAGAACGTCGACGAATATATGTTTCATTTTGGTTGAAACCTCGTCGATCATCGCGCCATAATACTCTGCAGCTACATTACTGCATGCCACGTCCACATGATAAATGGTTGCATCGCTTCCTGCACGTATGCTTGATTGAAAATATGGAGCTCGAAGATCGGAAGTAAAATGAAGCATGAAGTAGTAAATTTGTTGACAAATCCAGCGCGCTCGTAATTCTGGATAGATGGAGGTATTTTATACGTAGATAAGCATGTCTCTTGGTCTTTCTGATGCCATATACTTAAGTAACTTACTCGTGACCATCGACAATAGTAGTGCTATATCTATACCTTGAAATCTTACGTCTATGCATACATACATACATACATATATGTGTGTATGTATATATATATACATATATACATGTATGTACATATATAGGTGCAAATCAAGATATAACAAACTTACCCTTATGCCTCTCGTGAGACTCTGTCTGAAACATATAAAGTAAAAATATAAAATAGTTTTTATTTTTTTTTGAAATGTTAAAGTCACGATTTAATTAAATCCATTACCTCCTCAGCGAGGAGATTTTCTTCATCTTCGCCAATAGTTAGATTGATGGAATCTTCATTGTCGATACCATTGGCCTCAACAGTAGAAACTGAATTAGTTGTTGTTTGATTTACTGTAGTAGCTACATCAGATTCTATTTTCTTATCAATAGCCTGTGTATTTTCGATCAAATTTTTATTTAAATGATTCTTAAGTTCCTGTTTGTGTTCTATTTCCTTGCTAATATTATTTTGAATTTCACTTTGAAGTTCCTAAAATAAAATTTTATTTTGTTATTCTTATAAATATATTTTTTTATAATAAACTAAATATTATTTATACTTACTTCCACTTTAGATATTGTATTTTCTTCTATAACAGGCTTTGATTCTTGTTTAAGTTTTATATCATTATTATCAGATACCTCCATACTTTCTTCTTTTTGATTTTCTAATGTATCATTAGTTTCATCTTGATTAATTGTACCTGTTACTAAAAATGCAAAAAATTATAAATTTGATTTGATAAAATGATTTTAAATTTATCTCTTTCCTTTTAATTAATGTATATAGGTCAAATAACATACCACTATTTTTTCTTGGACTAACTTTGCATAATCCACCACAAGGTACAATCAAGTATTCATCAGGATCTTGACCTTCATCAGTTATGGCCTTTATATATCAAAATAACAATGAAGTTATCATAAGTTATAATAATAATAATAACGAACAATAAAAATATAAAATTATATTAGTTAAATATAATTAGAGAAAAAAAAACTTGTTCATCAATGGCAATACTGTAATAATTATTTGAAAAATTGAGGTTTTGAAATGATATATATATATAGCGTTGAAATAAACTATCAACGGTATCAAAAGGGTTAAAATGGCGATAAAACAAAGAATAATATTGTTAATGAAATCTTAACAAAAACAATATAAAGGATAAGAAAATTTACTTTGGAAAGACGTTCAAGAAGTGCTGCTTTATTGCCAGTTTTATCTAGCCCACGCCTCTCGAGTTCTGTTTTCAAATCTATAACTCGTAGTTCAGTGAGCTTTTTTCCTTCAACATCGGCCATTATTCTCATACAAAAGTGTCCGACACAAGGCACGCTTATGTTTCAATTTTTTCGGTTTTACAAATAGAAATTTATAAGCTAATTTTCATATATAAACTCAATAAAATAACAAAATTATGATATATAAAAAGAACAATTGAAGGATTTCTCAAAATCACAAAGAAAAAGTTACGACAACACACTCCGATATGAACTATCCATCGTCGTCGCCATTTAACGGAAATGACCGGAAGTAATTCTCGCATCAAGTGAATAGAATAGCCAATCTAAAAAATCAAGATACATTTCATTGGAATATTACTAGAATTATTTTTATCATTAATATAATGATAATCAGATTAAAATGCGAAATTATATATATTAAAAAATATAAAATTTGTTGAATGTACATAAAATAATATAAATTTTATATAAAATGAATAAACAATAAAAACAAGAATAATTATTTACCAATCGAAAAATGATAATACTAGTTACAATTTTTAAAATGGAAGATATTATTAAAATTATATATAATTATATTTATATTTATGAATTAAATTGTATGAAATATTTTATATGTTAAAAGATTAAGAATTTCTTATATTCTTAAAATCAGTAGTTATATGTTTTGTTAACTTTGATATCTTTAATCAGAAATGAGTATGTGACGTATCGATTTGCATATATATATATATCTAAGAATACGCTTGTTTAACATTGATTCGTAAAAATTTATAATTGCACAGTAGAAATTTTTTTATATTTATCAGTATGCCTGTAAGTAAATATTTCTTAAATTCGTATTAAATATTATATATGTATTTCAATGAATTTTGACATATAATGTTATTTCTAACCTTTTTAGATTTCAATCTATATAAAGTATTTATGCTTATTTTTAACATTTTGCATTAATTTATATATATTAATAGAAAGATGAAAATGAAATATTTTTTATTACAGTACTATAATGATTACTTATTTTTTTTTTTTATTTTAGGCATATCATTCAAGTTTTATTGAAAGTAATGGAAATGTTGGTAATATGGCACTTTTGCCAATTCGAACACATTTTAGAGGTCCTGCACCTCCCTTCAATAATAAGGATTTGGATATAATTGATGAAGCATTGTATTTCTTCAAAGCAAATGTGTTCTTTAGAACGTATGAAATTAAGGTAACAACAGTGTGTTCATTTCTATTTTAATTCTATATTTCTGAAAAAAAATATAAAATATTATGTTATTTTAGAGTGAAGCTGATAGAGTTTTAATTTATATTACATTATATATAACAGAATGCTTGAAAAGATTACAGAAATGTGCAACTCAAGCTCAAGCTACAAATGAAATGTATTCTCTTGCTATTTCAAAATTTGATATTCCTGGCGATCCTGGTTTTCCTTTAAACTCTGTATATGCAAAACCAAGTAATCCTGTAGAAGCAGGTATATTTTGCATTAGTTTTATATCAAATTGAAAATTATTAAGTGTAAAAATATTTTTTTTTTATAGATACTATGAGACAATATTTGCAACAAATAAGACAAGAAACTGGTGTTAGACTTGTAGAAAAAGTATATGGTGAAGATGGCAAACCAAGCAAATGGTGGTTATGTTTTGCAAAAAAAAAATTTATGGATAAGTCATTATCTGGTCCTGGACAATAAAGTATATTTTTTAATTATAATATAGAATATATATGTATAACAGATAAATACAAAAGTTTATTGCAGGAATATGAGTTCTAATATTTTATAATATTAATAAAAATAAAATAGAAAGATAAAAATGCAGAAAAAAAATATTGTAAGAATTTTGTAAATTAAATGTATTATGCATTTATCATATAATTAAACTTGTAAAATCTTATTATATCATATTATATTATATTTGTATTTACTTAATTTATAAAAATGAAATATAACACTTTAAAACAACTAATTAGGAAATAAATGTTTATTTTGTACAGGATATACCATAATATTGATACAAATATCTGTAACATATCAATGCAATGATGTATCATGTACATATCATTATTAGAAACATTTAAAAACTTTATCGCTTTCTGCGAAGCGATAAGGAGTTTCTTCTCAGCCATGCTGCACGACGAGAACCACCAATAGTTTGCGAATAACGATGTCCTTTGCCTAAACCGCGTGAACTTCTGCCAGCTGATGTCTTTCCACGAAGTTCACGATGTTTATGTACTGCATTACATATCCAATTAACTTTTGGATCATTACGAATTGCCTGAAATAAGAATAAAACTATTAATATTTCATTCTTTAATATTGTCCTGTAAAACTTTTATTGCAATTATTTATTCAGACATCCAAGGAAGATGAAAAATCATGAAACTTCAGTATGCAATAAAATATCATCATACAAATATTTTATACAAATATTTCATTTTTATAAAATATATAAATATTATAAATTACCTTATGTGCTGGATCAACCAAAATAACTTCATAATATTTATATGAAGAATCTTGAGCTACCCAATAACTATTCAAAACTCGTAAACCTCCACAACGACGACCAACACGTTCCTGAAAATAAGTATTTATCAAATAAAATGATAAAAATTGCATATTACATGATGTAAGATGACATAAGATTGTACTTCAATTTGTATAAATATGAACTTACTTCGGCAACAGATTGTAATTTTCTAGTAGGTTTCAACTGATTAACACCATGACTTTTTGGTTTTCCATAAGTTGCACCTTTAGGAACAGGACGTTTGCGCCCACCTCTTCTTACACGAATTCTAAATATGACAAACCCTGCATATTAAGAATATAATTTTTCATATTTATTATATTATATTAAATGTTTAATATATACTATGTTTAATTTATATTAAAAAAGATAATCAGTATATACACATATATCACCATATAACTGTAAGAGTGGTGCATG